CGGGGCGAGCTCTGGGACCTGTCTTAGCCTCGGTGCCAGGCATCCTCCGCTCCTCCTACCCGCCCACCCTGGCCCTGGAGTGGCCGATACAGGGCACCAGAGACACCATTTGGCGTTCACCTCTTGAGAGGCTGCAAAGGCAGGCGTGGAACACTTCTTGGCGTGTCTCCCCAACCCCACGACTCAACCAACGGCGCTGGAAGTGAACCCTACCAGTCTAGACTCGGGCTGCTAGGCAGAATGAGAAAGGTCCAAGTTCCTACCAGGAGAAAGTTGATGGATGATGGTGACCGCCCTGTTGACTACCTACAGTGTATTCTTATGAACAAGCTGCTGGAGACCGCGGGGGATGAGGCCACCAGCTGCCCCAGGCACCCCAAGGAAAAGGGCAAACTAGGTTCCTGGGAGGCCACTGGGGCCAGCTGTTTTCACATGCTTCTCTCACTCACTTTACCAATCTTAAAGGTTGGGATGATGCTCGTTTTCTACGTAACGCGTACTAAGACATTAGGTACTTTGGCAAGATTACGCAATCTGTAGATGGCGGTGCTGGGATTCAAACCCATGGTTTTATTTCCAGGATAAATCATTTTTTGTTTCCCTCAATATTGAACATGGCCTGCTCACGGCAAGCAGAGCTCAGAATGTAACGGTGGCTGTGCGATTTCCGTTTATTTAGGCACAGCCTCACTTTTGTGCGCTAATGTATTTTTAGCTTTATTTTACACTGGCAGAGGTGAGTGTGTGCCAGGTGAAATTGTTGCGTATCACCTATTCCTATTTTTCAACATGTATTCAGTGTTCAGTGCATGATAAGACAAAAAAAGCACCTGCTTCTCTCCACCCCGACCCAGGGGACTTGAAAGCATCCTGTTACCTCTTAGTGGGCTAACTTAGGTCTATGCCAATGAATAAACCACTCCATTAGCCATCGAAGAAAAAAACACTGAGAATCCTCTACACCCACCTTTCTTGTCCTCTCACGTTGAAGCACTAGAGATAATTTTCACAAAATTCTTTTGCTGGAAGTTTTTACCTCTATCATTCACGCTAATTTTTTGAAAAAGTCTTGAAAAAAATTTAGAAACATTTTAGTATATATTTTATTCAGAATCATAGGTCCATAGAGTTCTGAGATTTGCTCACCTAAAAAATAATTTTTAAAAGCCATAAGGAGCTAAGTGCCAGCTAATTTATTTTCTATTAAATGATTCATCGTTTCTGTAAATAAAGCCCAGTCGTCAAAACCAATATAGGAAACATTTAAGAATGGGCAAGGTCAGGGGTCCTTCAATCAGAAAATGGATCCTAAAACCTTATATGGTAGATTGATTTTTAAAAATAACCTGCTGCTACTGTTTATATCTTTAAAAGCTTCGGGGAGTAGAAGTGGTTCCCGCTCACAAAAGGATTGGTGACTTATGACCTAAAGACAAGATAAAAATAAAAGATTGATGCAACCCAACTTTTTTTTTAATCAATAAAGGACTTATATTAAGTTTACCCTTATTGCTGACCTTGCAGAAAAGGTTTTATTTCAACCTTGAGTATTAAAGGGAAGAAATTTTAATGAGCTACAAGTTCTTATGTAAGTCTCAAGTTCTGGCTGAATTCTTACAAAAAGGTCTTAATTGTGAGAGTTTGGTTAAACTGTAAAAAACATCAGTGGAGAAAGGTAATTTTTTAGTTTAGCTGAACTATATTCCCAAACGTAGTTATGAGGAGGTGTGTTTCTTAAGACTGTTAGACCAATGGAAACCATGTATTGTATATGAAAGCATAACAACTGGATGCAAGGGTAAAACTTGTAGGATTTTGCAGTTCATGAAAAAGGAACACTCAAGAAAAGCTTTCTGTAAAGCAAAATTTGATGTACTGGTTCCTTGTTCCTATTGGGTACCTTTTTAAATTGAGATTTGTGGGTGGCAGCATATTATGGTGATTAAAAATGTCTACTCCAGAGCTGCATGGCTTGGGTGTGATTGGTGACTCTGCTTCACTTTCGAATCTTGGCCGACTTGCTGTTTCCTCCTCTGAAAAGTGAGGATAATTGTTAGAGGCTGAATGTTTGTGTCCTCCCCCTCCCCCAATTCTTCTGTTGAAACCTTGCCCCTTAATGTAATGGCATTTGGAGGTGGGACCTTTGGTAAGCGATTAAATCTATGAACTAGGAAGTGGGCTCTCACCAGATATGGATTCTGCCTTGATCTTGGATTTCCCAGCCTCTAGAACTGTGAAAAATAAATATCTGTTGCTTATAAGCCACCCACTCTACGGTGTTCTGTTACAGCAGCTGAACTAAGACAATAATAATAGTTCTCACCTCATAGGGTTGATATGAGAATTTAATCATTTGATATATATTGAGCACTTAGAATAGTGCCTGATACATAGGAAGTGCTTTGGAAGAATTTGCTATTATTATTAAAAGAAGTATTGGCTTTGAAGGGGCAACATTTAGTGAAAAGATAAAGAGACAAATGGAGCTGTAAGGTAATCATTAGATTTTGGGAGAATCGTTCTATCAGGCAAGGGGTAGAGAGGAACATTCCTCAAGTGGGAAACCCAGGTGCCTGCTCCTAGCTGTGAGACCTCACTCCCCAAACCTAGAGCCTATGGAAGGTTAACTTATTCCACAGCAATCCAGCCCTGCTACCCAGCAGACCCCGGGAGTGGCTATGATGACCCTTCCTATGCTGATCTAATGATGTTGATAAGCCCAAGGGTGAGTCAAGCTTACGATACTGTAGGACTCGTATGAGGGACATGTCACAGCTTCCTAACTGTGAAACTACTGTTTATACACACAGAACTTGTTAATTCTCTGCATTATCAGCTTTGCAAGATAAAAATGTTACATGTTGGGTTTCCTCATATCAGAGAGTCCTGGGTCACATAATATCCTAGTGGTCAAGTGTGATATCAAAGTACACAGCCCCAGCTGTTTTCTAGGTCTCTAAGCTCTTTTATTTGTTTCAATTAATTTCCACACCGTTGCCAGAGTTAACTTAAAAGTCACTTCATGGCTGAAGCCTTGCACGGTATCTGTATCCCCATTGTATGTGGACTAAAGTACAAAGCCCTCTGTATAAAAGGTTCTGTCCTTATGTGGCTGGGTCGCCTCCCAGCTTCATTTTCATTCTCCACCTTAGAATCTAGTAGTAGTACCTTCTTGTAGTTGCCCAAACATGTCGTGTTCACTCCTGCCCTTCAAGAGCTGATTCTCTCAGCTTGGAATGTCTTTGTGCCTTTCTCTTCCTGTGAAGCTTCTAGTCCAGCTCCCACTATTTGCATTCCTTGAAGGGCTGAGTATCTTCCAACGAGCTGAACACTCCTTTTCCTGTGTCACCATTACACCTGGCATCCTTCTTTTAATTGTGCTAATTGTACTATGATTTATTATCTGTTCTTACATTAGCTTTTCATACTAGACAGCTATTAACTGTGGCCACCAAAAGTGTATTTTATTCACCTTTGCTTCTCTGGCTCCTGTTACCATGTGTGGCACATGGAAAGTGCACGGTTAATATTTGTTGAATTAAGTAACCAATGGGCTAAGTCATCCTCTCACTGTTATTTTGTTGGTCACTGCATCTCTTGATTATAAACAATTTATGTTCATCAAGTCTAGAAATTTCCAAGATTTTTAAAGTTCCAATCCCATATAACAATATTTACTATTAGACTGGCTCCCAATTCTTTTCATTCATCTAAAAATTTGAATTTCATCGAGGTCAAGATCTGTACTTTTGTCACTGAACTGGAAATATACCTAGACTATTGGTTGCACTTATTGAAACTGTTAACGTGTTGCTAGTTTATTGTTTATTAGCTTATTTATAGCCTCCCCTACTAGGACTTTACCCTCAGAGGGGCTTGCTTTATTATCTTTATATCCCTAGCACCAGGCACATCAAAGACTCTGCCTATCTCTCTCTCTCTCCTTCTCCCTCTCCCTCCTCTCCCTCCCCCTCTCCCTCTCTATCTCTCTATATCTCAATGGAGAGACAGAGAGAATGGATAAATGAAGTACATAAAGAAGCATATACTATATGGTACCTTCAGGAAGGATTTAAAAGCATACTCAGAAATTTACTTTGTTGTCTTTCTTTTGCTTGCTTTTGATATAGGATGTGTCTCAGGTAGATCATTGGATAATATGAAAACCACAGTATAGAAATATTAAGGAAAAATATCCCAAGTTGGAAATAGGATTTTATGGGACATAAAATTTGTTTTTCAAGACAATATACAACATGTCGTCATTTAAAAATGAATATCATATTGTAGCCCAGTAGACACACACACACACACACACACACACACACACACACACACACAACTGAAAGAGAGTTTTACAAAATAATATTTTTGTGTACTTCTAAAGTA